AACTGGAATATCTTCCGATGTACCTGTAGTAGGAAAAGAAATAACGACACTGAGGCGCCGTGTGTTACACAAATAAGGTAAAATTAATCAAAGCCATGTTAAGGTAAACCTAAAAAAACTTAATAAATTATTATGTTTTCGGCTTACTCACGCAATAATTTGACGAGGAACTCGGCTAGTTTTTTTTATTTCGATTTCATCATTTATATTATCTCTATAGTACATATATACATAACATCACGCCTTTAACCCCGTAGGAGTAGGCAGAGGTGCACATTATACCACTGTGCAATGTAACACCCACTTTTCACTATTAATGCTATGAGTCCCGTGTAATAGGGGATAAGCCTATTGCTATATACCGGGCACGATTTCAGACTCCGTGCTATTACTGGGAATTAAAAAAAAACCAGTTATACTTTGCACGACCCGGGAATAGAACTCGACACTTGCAACTCGAAAAACCAACGAAGCTTCTTACTCACTGATAAAATTTTCAAAAACCTAACAATTTTTTTTTATAACACCTCAATGGCTACCATAGAAGCATGCAATTACATTTTATTCCGAAACAAAACATACTTAATTTCAATTCTATTGCTTTTTAAAGCATAAGTGCTTCCACTACGTTGTAAGACTGAATCCTCTACAGCGATTATATCTAAATAGTTCCTAATATGTATATTTTCTCATATGGTACCCTATTAAATAGTATATATAATCTTTTTATTCGTAGTCGCCAACAGTCAGTTAGATCGTGCTAAACTCTAAACTGCAAGTAACTTTCGACTTTTGTGTACAGACACTCTAGGGTTGTCTAGTGTATGGTTTTTGATTATATATTTTTATTGGAAACTGTGATTTTAAAGGGTGTAATTTGAACAGTAGAATAATTTATTGGAATCTGGTATTTGAGGTGATCTACAAAATGTACTATGTATTTTTTTTTTCTTCTTTGGCAACCGAGTCTCCAAAACAGTGTTGTCGACCATACTGCCAGTGTCGAGTGGTGACGACAAAATTAATGAACCGTCGAACTTAACCCATTTAGGCCCGCCGTCCCCATATGGGGACAGGTTTTCTTTTACCCGCTGGTTATTAATTATTTTAGCTATCTTCACATTTCATGGGTATTTATAATGAGGAGTAGTGTACTTTCCTAAAATTAATAGAAGTTTTGACAAATTGCTACAAAAAAGGGGTCATATTGTCAATTTTATCAAGAGGAAGTGAAATGGGAATTATTGTTGAAAGCAGAGGCGTTTTGTAGTACGTTATTATGAAGATTTATAAAACTTTTTTGTGATTATTGCTTGCTTATAGTGTCAATTAAAACAATATTGAAGAATATCCTTATACTTTCAATTCCGCTTAGGGGAAAGTTAGAAAAAATGATGGTGTCCCCGTATGGGGACAATGGGCACATCTGTAGTATATTTTTAAAACATTTATACCTGATTTGTATTTTGTTTTCCAATTTATAAAGGTCACCTATAGGCTAACTTAGTTATAGCTAATACTTGGTGACAACAGACGCTATTTCACGAAGAGCATCACCAATTCCGCCATATCTTTACGCGTTCATATTCTAAAATCTGATAGGCATCAAGACCGAAGATGCAAAAGTCCACCTACAGTACCAGGCGTCGCATCCGATATCAGAATTCAGCAGTAGGGGCATTTCCTCCAGCTGTATTCTGGTGTCGTCACAGCGAAGTCCACCCAGAGGATAGAGTAGCATTATGCCCTATATACGTTGACCACCGCCGTGTCTTCAGGGAAGTGATCGACGACGATAATTTTCCACGTCCAGCTTAGGTTCTGGCTGTGGTGCGGAGCGAGGGGAACTGGAATACATCTCTTTCTGCGAAGCAGTCATAGTAGCAAGAACAGATCGCCACCCAGAACCAGACCTGTACCTGTAAGGTGCGTGGCGTTACGCGCGTGCTTCAAAGTGCAGATCAGACCGCCTTACATCGAGATGGCTCAGTGGGACAGATGCCCAACTACTATGAATAACCTAGTGGGTCACCGGGGCTTCGGCTTGAAGCAGAATTAGGAACGTGTTGGTTTTTAGCCAGTAAGAGTCCCCCAGGTGGAAAACGCAATGCATGACTTTTACCCTCAAAAAAAATATAGGAGCGTCACATCAAATTGATTTAGACATTTTCCGCAGAGATTTAGTTAATATCTGTTACGACACGCAGTTCGTCATAAACAAAACTGTGATATCAATGCAAATAATGCGTTAGAACCTTATGTGTCAAAAACAGTTACTACTTCGAAAAGTACTACACATGAGCCCGTTGTCCCCAATCAAGGACGGCATTTTTTTTAATACTTCTAAAAATATTTTTTGAATTTTTTTTGCTTATATTAGTTTGTGGGCGTCATATCATTGAGTTAATAAAGTTTTTTTTATTAAATTATGTGTAGTTTGCATTTGGTCCCAAATGGGTTAACTTTGCGGTAGTTTTTAGTTGTTAGTAGCTGAAAGGATAAAACAATTGGGTTAGTAAACATAAACATTATCAACTATTTTATTGTATATATGGTGGTGTAGAAAATAGTTGGGGGACAAAAATTGATGTATATTCTAGACTAAACTTTTGATCCAATTTGCCGTATGTCAGTATCAATATTTATTTACAAAGCCAAAAAAATACTTCTTATTTCCTTAATTACCAAACCGATTATCCGGTTACAACTGGAACGAAGCTAAGTCTCATGGCCTTACTAAAGCGGATTTATTTGGCATTATTTCATACACTGAACCACGAAATAAACTTCTATAATTATATGGTGTGTATGCAATACATTCACAATAAATTTGTTTATCTCACTATCATTATATAAAGTAGATAAAATCATGGCTATTTCGTGCATGAAGGTTTAGGCGAAAGTTTTGTTAGTAGTGTTAAATACAATTGTTATCAGATTTATTTAACGTTTGTGCAATCGCTTTCCCTGGAAAGTTTTAGCCAAAATTAATCTTGTTTTCATATAGAAAAGTCTATTTTGACATAAAAATTATATTATTTTTGTATATTTTATAAAAGTGGTACCAAAACAATGAACGAACTAGGTGTTCAACAGGCTTTTATGTCAATCAAAAATTTGCTTAATTACCCAAATATTGCCAATACTTTAAAACTTATTATTCACGTACGTCCTGTATGATCCCTTAAACTTGTTTTTATGTAGGTATATGTCATTTGTCCTCACGAGGCCAATTAAACAGACCCACTCATCCACAACCGCTTCACCGCAAATAATGACGTGTGAACAATCAGAATTTCACTCAACTACAAATTTATGGCAACAACATGTTACAATACGTTGAAGCACTGTTACAACAAATATACTTTTAACGGGGTGTTAATGAAAAACCACAACAATAATAAAGTGCACACGTGTCGAGAGGCAACCCTACGCGGCGGCCATTACATAAATAATGACGCCATGTTTATTGCAGCCATTTTGAAGACAAATGGTTAGTTATTACGGCGCACTCGGTTTTACATTCGCTAGTCGGGTTGGCAAAATTAAAATATTGTGTATTACTTATTTTTATACCAAGTTTAACTGCGCTGGAGTCGATTTACTGGCAGTTTCGGATGTTGCTCTTTGTTTATGCCCTACTGAGTGCAGTACGTTGTAGTCTGATTTTTTTTATTCCCGCCACTCGTTAGCCTGTCCTTGTAACGCGTTTTATATATAGCTGTAAATTTTCACATATCACTTAACGTTTATAAATGCTTTTGGTTTTATGGGTTTTTTGAAATTTATTTGTTTGTAACTAACTTGAGTAATAGTGTAGGTTTGTATTGTTAAATGGTGTTTGTTATCCGGTTGAAAATAAAGGCGGGGTGCGCTGTCTCTGTTGGCTATAATTTATTGCGTAGCTCTTGCTTTAGTTAAACTCGATAACACAGCTTAAAGAGGTTTACGAAAAGATTCCTTGTTAATGGAATGGAAAATACAGTTCGTTAACAAAAGGTAATCGATTTAACAAAATATTTGGAAAAAAAGATTCCTTAGAAGAATATGTTTAGGATTACTAATACAAGTTACTACATTTTATTTTAATAAGACATAATTAGATACCTGTTTATTGACAATTTTTTCTACCATGCGATGGTAGGTAGATATTAGCTACGCTAATGTTTTACTAATAATTATTTGCATCTGCATTTGTTTTAAATGTTTAATTTATGTAAATAGTGTTTTATATTCGTTAATAAATACGATAAAATTATGGATGTAGATAACATTTAGTTGTGAATGCAATAGAATAATTCTGACCCTATTAGCATTGTTTTATCTTTGGACAAATACAATTGAACACGTTTCATTTATGGTTAATGAGTTACGTACAAAATTAGTTTAAATAAAATAGATTCTATTCCATTATGAACAACGTTTATTTTCTTTATTTACAGTCAGCAAAAGAATTTGGTTCTCAGGTAAGAAAATAAAGATTGATTTGGCTTTCATTAAAACAATACAATTTTCTTTAACAATAATATGTTGTCACTGTACTGAATCAATTTTTATTTTCTTAACTGCATAAAATTTATTTTGTTGATTGCATATACAAATATTAAGTACATATCAACATTAATGAGAAAACAATATTTAAAATTGAAAGTAAGGTTTTGATTTAGTTTCCAAGTGCACTGTTTCCGATCAATTATTCATAATAACGATATCCTACCGCATATTATATGATTTTGTTAAAATCCAACTAGAGTTTTAGTCATTCTATTGAAATAAGAAAACCGAAGTAAAAATCAAGTAATAAAAACAACAATAACGATGCTTGAAATAGACAAATATGATTAATGTCATCTATTTACCTTCGTAAAGATGCCCCGTAGGTAAACCCAAGTCAACTTTATGAAGAAATTGAAACTGAGTCCGAAGCTTCAATTTTGTTATAGAAGGACCTACCCAAATTCTTTTCAGTTTAATAATTCGTTATTATTCTCTAATTCCAGAATCCAGATATAGTGTTAGTACACTACCTGAACGTGCCATACCCAGATGACAACAAACTGGCAACGGTAGCACCTAGTCTGGCCCTCTGGGCAGACAAGAAGGAGTGGACTAAGGATGAGCTGGTCTGCCAACTGAAGCCAATGTGTGAGTATTACATGAAGTTGAAAATTCAAGCATATGTCTATGAAGATAGTGACCAAAACTTATTGGCACTAATATGCGTCCCTGGGGTACACCAATGAGTGTGTGCTGTGTGTAATTACAAAAATTATAATGTACAGACAGAATTTTGTACTATATTTCCAGATAATTAAATTATATAGTACTTACACGTGATATATGTATAAGAACTGAAAACCATTAAATACTTTTCCAAAAACATAATGATATTCAGAACTTAATAAAAAACAAACTGAATAAACATTATAATTATTATGAATGAAATACACAAATATTTTAGGGTGTCGTTAAACAAATTCTATTGAAGTAAAACATAGTTCATTTAGCGCCATCCAAATGGACACCTTATGAATAAAATTATAAGATTCGTAAATGAGAAAGATGCCAGTACCTTCATCTTAACTGTGGATCAACATAAATTTGAATAACTCCACAGATAAGAATGTAATCAAAGGTTTTTTGCTTCGGAAAATTCCAAAGTATGAATTATGAAGTTCGGTGTCTTTGTGTAATGAAACGAAATGTTTGGGATTTATAATATATTCTAAAGCATAAATTAAACAATTTTATGGAGCATCCAAGGGTATGTGTAATTTATGTGTTGTATTTTATATTCTATAGGCACCTTATTTGTAGACTTTTTTAAATTGTCGCAACGTATTATATTAATCTTAGCTAACTTCTGTTTTTGAAATCAACAAATTATTTCAGTGTTTCAGTCTGTACAATCAAAAACTCGAACAAATTGTGCCTTCCACTTCAACTGCCAATCATAACACAATTACTATGTAACTCCGTGCCGTCAATTAACAACTTTTACTGAACAAAAAATCATAAAAATTGTCATTCTAACAGAATTGGAGAATTTAAAACACTGGAACCAAATTGAAACGATGAAAGTTTCTGCTCCGTTGTTGAATATTTATGAAAACGGTGGCAAATATCAATTATGCAGTGCGGTTATTAATCCTATCTGATCGGAATAACGATGCTGTTGTTAATTTAGGGGCACCCTGTTATTGATTTCGGATTGAAAATTAATATTACAAGCCTTAAAATGGAATTATTTCCGTTATCATTTGTGATGGAAATTAGGTTAATGGCTTTTTTAATATTACTCGGCCAACATGGCGCGATTGAAAATATAGTATTTAATTCGCATTTCCATAAACGTATGGACTTTGTACCTATAATATTTGTAGTGTCTTCTGTTTCAGTCTTCAGCGAAGACGATTCTGACCACAACAATGACTTGGAAATTTCGGTGAGTACAGCCCATAGACGTGTTATTTAGCAGTCAAATTCACTATAATTAAAAATCAGGGCAAAATGTTTCAGACCTCGGAAACCGTCGAAATCATCGTAACTCAGCTCATGGAGAAGCAGAGAGCTGCCAGGGCTGCGGCTTTGGCGAGACAGCTGGAGTGCGGCTGCCCTGATTCCACTTGCAACGATTCAAGAAACTGTGCTCACCCCATGCGCAGAGTTCAAGCTGCAAAACCACCACCTTCAGATCATCAAGTGTCATCAACCACCGGCCCGTCTCCGAGACCCATGTCTCACCCACCCAGGCAGTACACCAGAGACCATAGACCTGCACAACAATCAGCATCTCCATTACTTTTATCTTTAGGCCAAATTCAGGGTGGCGGTGGTCTCCTAATTTTGAATGGAACGAGCAACGGAACTCAACAAAATTCTTCTTTGGTATCTCCATTATCAGTGACGTCATTCGTCTGTGAAGAACCCCGCGATAGGTATAGGCAGCAGTACAAACCCACTTTTGTTTTAAAACGGGAAATTCCGGACAGTCAACCTACGGTAGTTCAAACCACTGAGACAAAGTTTGAAATTGAGCCTAAAGAGGAAAAAATAGATGTTGATGTATTTGAAAGGAAAATAAAAGTGGAGCCAAGAAGTAGTGTCAGTAGAAACCAGGTTATCGCAAGTGCGCCGGCGACTCCATCAAGATATCCAGATTTAGTAGAAAGATTAGAAAGTAAAGTTTTGACAGATAACTGTGATGATACTTTAGTGCTGCTCGGTACAGACAGCAATTTAGGTTCTAGTGGGTTCTTTGATGAGACTCTTGAATTATCGCATGAAGATATTCAAAAAACATTGTCGGCTAATATGCCTACTTGTGAGCTGGATAGGAACGGTGTGAGGCATACTGATACGGCTAATGTGATGGTGTCTGGTATAGATACAATGGACTTTATAGACAGTTGTGAAGTTGTGGCTTCGCCTGCTACAGGAGTTGATGATAATGTGTTTGTGAATCTGGACGCTTTTGATATGCTAGGAGACTTTCCGGAATTGGAAGTGTTGGATCCCAGTGGGATGTCATCGAATCCAGTGGTGAGTCGAAAAACAAAAGGGGTGAAGGTTACAATTATTTTTATTATAGTTTTATAATTTTAGTACTTTCAAAACTAAAACTATATTTATATCTCTCTTATTTAAGCATTATTTTGTTTTGTTTACATTGTAACTTCAGTTTCATTTTTTTATTATTATTTTTATTTTAATCAGTTTTTGTTTTATTGTGCTTTTTGCATTTATAATTTCTGCAAAAACTGGTTAAAATGACAGATTTAATCAACATAAAAGCAGTCCTTTTTCCTTAATTTCCAGACTCTTTGTGACAAGTCTCCACCAGCCGAAGATAGTAGTGAGAAAATGCAGACTGAGAGTAGTAGTGAGGGTACGCTGAATATAACGGATTATTCTCCGGAGTGGGCCTACCCTGAAGGTGGAGCGAAGGTTTTAGTTGCTGGCCCTTGGACAGACACGTCAGATCAGTACACTGTACTATTTGACAACTTCCCCGTGCCATCGATTTTGGTCCAAAATGGACTTTTGAGGTGTTACTGCCCAGGTAAGAAGTTGTTAAATAAATTGATTATTATTTTTAAAACTACATTAATTAGTTCAAGTAAATAACTGTTTCCCTGTTTTTGAGTGATAGACTTCAATATAATAAAATTCCTCATTTGGATTACATTACCTGTTAAAAATCATACAATTTATTACGTTCCAGCTCATGAGGCAGGATTAGCAGCGTTGCAAGTGGCTCGGGGAGGTCGCGTTGTATCGGACACGGTAGTTTTCGAATACAAGCCTGGCCCAGCACCTGCGCCGTCATCTCCCGCGTCTGCACCACTGCCATCGCTGGATTTGAGAAGGTTTTCGCTGCTGCAGCGCTTACAGCGGTTACAAGGTCGTTTGCAAATGAAAATTGAACCTGCTGATGAAAACAGCCAGGTATGTTCAAATTAATTTATTTTCTTTTTAATTAAAATTATTTTTAGTAAGTCAACGGTGCTCGTATTAGTAAATGTTAAGAAAAAGTTCACAGATATTTTAGTGGTCTATTATAAGAATTCTTTTAATGACTTCTATTGTTCACAATTTCAGATTGAAGATGTTCAGCTGTATTCCAATCCAAAATTTGAAGAACGTTTGGTTTCCTTCTGTCGGTCTTTGAGCAGTCGGTCTACTGGTACTTCAGAGGGATTCACTACTGAACCGAATGAGGATGGCTCCACGATATTGCATTTGGCTGCTGCACTAGGGTATACCAAGTTGACTACAGTCCTGCTGAGGTGGAGGCAGGATGACACCAGCTTAGCTTTGGAAAAAGAAGTCAATTTGGGTGCAAGGGACAGTGATAACTGTACTCCTTTGGTGAGTAATGAGTTTGCTATCTAATTTAAACTAAAACCAACATAATAATAATAAAAGCTTTTGGTTTTAAAACACCATGTGTTCATAATAATTATTATGAACAATTAGTGCAATAAATAAATAAATAAATAAAAAAATAAATATTATGGGCTATTACTATGCTCATACTCGAGTAATCTCGGTTAGGAACTGAAAAGCAATCTGAATTGGTTTCCATGCCAATGGATTTATTCTTTTCACTATAAAACTATGAGTATGAAACGTAAGACTGCCTCATAGGCCAAGTGGTCGCAAATGCGACTGCCGGGCAAGGGTTCTCGGGTTCGATTCCCGGGTCGGGCAAAGTATTAATGGGTTTTTAAAAAAAAATCACAGTAGTAGCACGGAGTCTGGAATTCTGCCTGGTATATGGCGATAGGCTCACCGCCTATTACATGGGACTCATAACATAGATAGTGAAAAGTGGGTGTTACATTGTACAGTGGCATATATGTACACCTCTGCCTACCCCTTCGGGTCTAAAAGGCGTGATGTTATGTTATGTTATGAAACGTAATACAGAATTATTTTAAAGCTCACATATCCGTGAAGTGATGTCATTATTTAATTTAAAAAAAAAACAAGTATAAATTTAACTGAAAGGTTATTAGTTATCTAAATGTCTATTCCATTATTCCAGATGGTGGCTAGTGCAGCCGGGCACGTGGAGACGGCCGTGGTGCTGGCGCGGTGGAGTGCGGGCACGCGGCGCGAGGCCGGCGCGCGCGCTGCCGCCGCCGCCGCGCGCCGCGCCGGACACGCGCACCTCGCGGGGCTGCTCGACAGGATACACCCGCCCGCTAAAGATGGAGTCTTTCTTAGGCCACACAGGTGAGATAAAAAAACAATTTAAAGCGTCAAACAGTGCTGCCTACACTGCATAGACTGCACGGTTGGCGCGGTGGCTGGGCAACTGGCTGCCGCGCAACGTGTCGCGGGTTCGATTCCCGCACGGAATAACTCTTTGTGTGATCCACAGATTGTTGTTCCGGATCTGGGTGTCATGTATATGTGATATTGTATGTTTGTAAACGCACCCACGATACAGGAGAAAATCTTAGTGTGGGGCAACGGTTTTAAAAAAAAAACACATGATCGAAACTAAAAACTAGAACTGACTGACCGGTTACCACAGTGGCGGTGCAACAGGCTAATGTACAATGGATGTGTGATGTGGAACGACTCTTTATGTATATGAATCTGCATGACTCAGGAGAAAATCTCAGTTTGATATCAACAACAGGACACATGGATGATAGTTGATCTAATGCTACAAATTAATGTGTTTAAAAATCTTTTTGTCCTTCCAGTTTATCACAAAAGAGCCGTGCTGGTAGTTTGGAGAGTAACCTGGTGAAGAGGCCGTCAATAGACTCTGGAATCAACATGGCCGACGCGTTTAGATCCAGTTCTGCTATTGACAAATCGGAAAGCAGTTCCTCTGCCAGGTGACCATACACATTTAGTAGACGGTGTTTAGATCTGCATGCCTGTGATTCTAGTAATCTTCAATCATTGTCTAAAGATGCAAGTGATATGCCTATACTAACAAGATATTGATGAAATTAATCTTTTACAATAATAATTCTATGGCTTTATTAAAAGGATCAACAAAGGGTATCGCCATTATAATTTTCCAAAATCCTAACATTTACAGATGGGAACGAAGCATGTCGCTACCTTTAGATTCAGATACATCAGAAGATAGTCTTGGAGATTCCAAGATTGGCAGACGTATGGACCTGGCTCTCTGTAAGTCTTTGAACCACTTCGCCTCATTCATAGTCGATTCGTTTTTCATTTGCTGGTTATTTTATATCGGCACGGCAGCTGATGACATTTGAAGGTCCTAACCTTGGTTTCGGGTTTTCGTCAATGTTTCTTTTAAAACGGTGATGGTTTGTTCGGCGATGTAACTGGTCAAACGTGTGAGTACTACACTGCGGGATTGTGACGGTTTACAACGTTTGCAACCTGTTAGTTTCCTAGTTGATTGAAATGCTGATTAAAGTTCCTTTTTTTATTTTAATTTTAATAACGAAGAATTCCTGAACTCAAAGTAAAATACAAATCATCTATGGTTCACAGAGTAAAAAACGATAGTAAAATTAGATTCAGACATTTAGTTCGTAGCTTCCTTCCTTCTTTTCAGATTACGAGATAAGCATAAGTTTAGAGAGCACGTCCATTTTGAAAGCATTTGATTTCGTTCATGTAAGTGATTTGAACATGAAGACGTCAGTAGGCTCACGTCGTTTGACCGGTAAGGCTGAGTAGCGGCTTAGCGGTATGTTGAGGGGGTGGTTCCGCAGGCGAGACGGCGCCGCGGCGCGCCGCCAGCCCGCTCATTGACGTGGAGGCGCTGTCCGACCACGACGCCGCCAGCCCGCCCGCCGCTCGCCCGCGCCCCGCAGGTCAGTGCCGGCGCGCACAGAAACGGTATAGACTGCACCTCAAACTAAAATACCTACTAAATTACAACAATGACGACCCCACAAAATGGGTCGCTATCATTAATTTTGGAAAAATTACAAATCCCAAAATTAATGTGTAAACCTTCGATACCAAGGAAGATAAATGGAAAATCGGCATTAAATTTTTATTTGGTCCAAAATTTCTGTTTCATTATTTCAAATTAACAAAAACAGATTACGATCAACCGAATTGGCTTCAAATTACATTTCTTCAAATGTTTCAACTATCCTGTCTTCCTATTGGCAATTTTTTACTTTCCGTAAAAGTTCTATACCATTTCGAGTCGCAGCATCGATAACTCCGCTCGTCCTATCTGTCGATGTTGTGTATGTAGTAGTTGCATTGCCTCCCTCTTCTTCTAACAAAAGTTGTCTATATATCTTTGTCTCCCTCTTTGTCGCCAGTCTGTAGTCCTTGTTCACTGTATGTCGGTAGACCACTTGTAGTTTCTTCTGTACTTTGTGTTCCAATATGAGCGGAGTTTTCCCTTGAGTGTTTGTTGTCTGTAGTATCCTGAACTAAACCGAGTTTTATAACAAAGTTAGTATCTAACCAGATGTGTCAAACCAAAGAGATCAATAGGACCATTATAACTAAAGGCATAAAGTTCGGTTTAGTTTACTCGATGTTGTCCCTCGATGTCGCTTTCAGTGGTTCGTATTGGTCTATCCACTATCACTATCACAACCAAATCGATTGGCTTCTACCTTCAATTTCAGTACACAAGACTACGTTGTCCAGTCAGTACACTTGTTTTCAAAAAAACGTGACAATTTACTACACTGCATGAATGCTAAATGCTTGCATGAGTAATTAGGTGCTTTTTATGTGTAGTTGGTTACTGTTGCCATTGTCTCAGGTAAGTTCTTTGGCATCAGGTTTATCGTGCACTGTTGTCTCATTACACCTTTTATTATTTTTTCTATCTTCAATTCATTTATGTTAACCCCTACTGTTCATTTAGATTAAGAATATTAATAGGTACACTAACAAATTTTATTGTTTCTAAATCTCGATCTGTGTTCTACAGATTCGTAGTACGTAATGAATTTTTATGAAATTATTGTTTCTCGTACTTTGTAAAATGAGTCTCAATAAAATTAAGAAACAAGTACATAATATGTACCATTAAGGATTAGATAATTTACATGAAGTATTTTTTTATACATTGTAGACGTTTAGCAACACACTGTCAAATTTTATCACCTGACATAACATAATTTTGTCCTTAATTATTTCTACAGATGAGTACATGATGTTATCGATTAAACATAATAATATAATGTAACATTACCTATGAAACACCACTTCATTTAACATAAGTATTTTAAATATGTGTGTAGAAAAAAAATGTATGAATATTATTAAAAGTTATAATAAATTGTAATATTCATCCATTTCCTAAAAACGTTGATTGAAATGCAAATCATGAGAGTATTGTTAAAAAGTTTGTTTTAATTGTAATAAATGATTCGTCATCGACTTTGGTACTCGTCATGTTTTGTATAAAAACCAGTCTTAAGACGAATTAGTTAGAGACCATTATTGTTTGTCGAATCGATCTGAATTCGTTTGAAGACAGGATTATTGCTACAACGTGTTTGTATGCTTAGTACGTATTCAATGTTGTAAGTTAATATCATAAGGTACCACTTCACCAAATAATTTTCAGGGGAGCAGGATGACCGGGTGTTCACGCTGGCGGAGCAAATCATTGCCGCCATGCCGGAGAGGATAAAGGTAATCAAATTTTTCAATACTTCTTGATTTTGGTTATTGTTGGGTGTTAGCTTATAGATCTTTGAAATCGAGAAATGGAACTCTCATTGTGTACTTACAACTGGGAAAATATTTAGCTTTTAATGCGCTGAAGGTTTTTTTAAAACATGCATTGCAATGCAAATCCGTAAAGTAACGTCTTATTCTATTCTATATCTCATTGTTTAATCGAACAAAGTACCTAATAAGCTTTTTGAATGCCAAAAATCTAAGTATTAACACAGTTTAAAAAACGTAGCAATGTCAGTTTTCGATTGTTGAATAAAATTTGACAGAATTTTCTTTCGATAATTTGTGAATGTTTATAGTAGTATATATAGCATTGAGTCAATTATCTACATATTTTTTATCTGTTTATTGTTCAAGTCTAATACAGAATTTTCTGTCTCTTAGAACGAAAGCACATCTCTGCTATCGGCGTGCGGCTTAGACAGCGGCGGGGGAAGCGGAGAAGACACACTCATGGTGCCACTCCTGGACGAGAACACTACATTCAACAGTGACTTCACCTTTGAGTTCTGTGACAATACTTACAGGTACGTCATCTTCCTTTTCTAGGAATGCTTTATCGATGTTGTGATCTCCTTTTACCTTTTGATCGTCAAGTCAAAAAAGGATTAGCGTCTCCCAGCACTCGCCTTTATTATTTGTTGTCGTCTTATTATTTTGATCTGCGATAAAATCTAAAAGAGGAATCACACTGTAAATTGTGCCATCAATGGTTTTTATATAAGCAATCAAAGACTTACAAACACCTAAATAATTATGTTTTGTAAATGAATGAACGTGTCTTTATTCCAAAATTCAGTCAGTACTATGATGTGCTGGGAGCGTTTTAGTATTTTGTCTATATGTGACTGGCGGTCAAAAGGTTACATTTCTCCTTCTTCTATCTTCTTGACCTTTTCTTCTTCCTTCCCCTGGACGGCATCAACAGCAACATTAGCTCCGACTTCAGCTTCAACTATTATAGGTTGGGGTTTTTTTTTCGAATATCCAAGTATTTTAGTCATTTAGATAATGCTTTTGAGTGCTTTTTTTATTTTAGATCTGCTTTATTGAATAACGGTAAGTTACGTAGTACTGTAAGTTGCTTATCACTTCCCATGGGTTTTGGTTTCTGGGTCGCCTTCATTTTGTTTGGGTACTTAATTTTTGAAATTTTCAGTTGTTTTGCCATTAGATTAAAGAACAGCCTCTTTAACTTTTGTAAATAACATCCTACCATTTTTATTATTATATTAACTTTTTTAAAGCATTTTTTAAACATTTATAAACTAGCTCTGTATAATTTAATGGGAGCTTGCCTAACGGAGCGAATAACAACTATAATATCATTCTCGGACAATGAACATTTATTAAAATAAATAAAAAACAATATTTAACAGCCATATGTACTGTAATATTAGTTTTACTTTAATTTGAGAGTAAAATCATTTTTAAATTCGTTCCACAATCATTTAGTGTACATATTTACAAAATCAAAATAGTACAATTCACTCATTTAGACTTAAAACGAAAATTTTTAGAAAACAGAAAACATATTAGAAGGCACAGACTTCAACAAAACAGCTCATCGATATCTAGGTTCAAAACATTCAAGATGTTGTAGATTCTGATTTAAAGCCATCTTCTTTTAGATCCTTTGGAATTTACACTAAACGATACTGATGAAATGATAGAAATTACCTAATGAGTACACTCAATTTTTATGATTTCTAAACCTAATAAATCAATGGTTTTTATATTTCATGATTTGAACTAGCTTTTACCAGAACTCGTGTTTCTTTATTATCTTATGCAAGCATTGTTACTTATTCCTGTCTGTCTCCTAGGTACTGTGGAGGTTCGACTCCTTGTTCGTCAGGCTCCGTGTCTCCTGGATCAGCAGCGCTGTCTCCGCCTCCTCCATCACCTCGGTCTGCGTTGTCCCACCCACCTCTATGTACAACTCCTTCAGCTACTCTTCAAGAATTCCTTAACGCTACCACGCACTTCTCTAATCTTACATTGAATGGTGAGTCTGTTGAAGAAACTGCGTCATTTATTTTTCAAGTAATCAAGTATTTATTGCATCTATAATGTACATATACAAGTGGTTAGAAAATATAATTATGTAAAAAAGTAACAATTATGGACCCTATCGGGCACAGCAACATTTAAAATTGGTAGGAGAGAGGAAGGGCATTTTATTAGTATGTTTTTTTTTTATTTAGTTAGGTTTATTTAGGCAATATTATTGGAAGTATCGTAAATGTGTCTGATTGCTATTTTTGAATTAATTCAAAGACATGAAGACATAAAGTCTTAGTAGATAATAATATGACTGAGGTTTTAAAATCAAAGTCAAAATCATTTATTTCAATTAGACCAGGAAATCAATTTTGAGTGTCAACAAAAAATTAAAGTGATTTTATTTGAAGTATAATTTTTGAAACTCGATAACAATTCATGCTTTGAGGTGGTACACAACAATATTGTATGACAGCGATGTGCAATATGGATTAACATTATTTTAATTTGTTAAGAAACAACGACCGTAGCAAAATATATGGTATTAATTTTTTTTTATATTTTTATTAAAAATATTTTTATAAGTCCTATAAAGTCCTATTTCAATTCACAAAAGGCCTTTTATAAAATAAAACACCATCATACTTTTACGTTTAGTATAACTTACTCCAATTTCCACAGATCGTGAACAACGAGAACTGTACTCCGCGGCCATTACAATTCAGAAGGCATATCGCCAGTACCGTGGCAGACAGCTGCAGCGAAGAGCCGCGGCCGCCGCGATCACCATACAAAACTGTTACCGGAGATACAAACAGGTTAGCTATGTACAATTGTCTATATGATATAGCAACAACCTTGTAGATTAAGCGCCGGTTTTACCACCTCCATATAAGTACCTGATAAACTTATTTGACAGATAGTTCTTTATTCGAATTTATCTGGTAGATAGCAGCTATCCAGATATAGTGAAACAGGCCCTAAATATAATATTAGATACCAGAGGTATGACAAATGCGTTGGGGATAACATAGTAAAAGTTGTTAGCATCCATAAAACGCAGTAACATTACTGACGTAATGTAAATGGTGACCCATTTCAAGCCGTTGCTGTGAATGTGCAATGCGAAACACAGAACGTGCTTTGAAATGGTACCATATAGACCATGTAGTGTGGTCACAATAATAATTATGACGTTGTACCTTTTTGATTATATTATTCAATTATAGTAAAATTAACAACATTTAAATGAATGATGAATTGCTAAATTATTTAATATATAATTTATCATTGTGTTTGAACAGTTTGCATACCTAAAACAAATGCATGCGGCGGCGACGGTGATACAGCGCGGGTACCGTGCCATGCGCGCGCGCAGGATGGCCACCACACCTATCAAGTAAGTGAAACATACACGTTTAAATTACTTACTTGGTAAAGACCAGTTTCCACAATAATATCTGAATAAGATGATAATAATATAGCGGTAGTGTAAAATGAATGGAGTTTCATATAGATTTCTAGTCGATTTCACTATCAATTCCGCGCATATTTTTATATAAAATGTATGGGATATTCTCACATCATTTTTACATAACATAACATCACGCCTTTTATCCTCGAAGGAGTAGGCAGAGGTGTACATTATGCTACTGTACAATGCAACTACTTTTCACTATTTATGTTATGAGTCCCATGTAATAGGGGGTGAACTTATTGCCATATACCCATTATTGCCATATATTTTTAAAAACCCAGGAGTACGTTGCCTGACCCGGGAATCGAACCCGAGACCCCTTAGCTGGCAGTCGTACTTGCGACCACTCGGCCAACGAGGCAGTCGAATTTTTTACTTTCGAAATAAATTATCTGTTAACAGTTCCCAAAAATTAATCGAGTGTTATTTCGCTTGAGTAGGAGGACATACTCACAAAGGCGTCAGAATCAGGCAGCAAGGAAGATTCAACAGTTTATGAGGCAGTCCAAGATCAAGTAAGTGGATTGTGTCTATTTTAATAGTACTTACAAAATGTCACAGATCAATTTTTTTTTGCAAAAGTGTCGTTGAGTCTATGGCTTTGTTAAAGTCACGTAGGTTTTTTATAACGTCTTTGATTGAATAATCGTTCATTATGTTGAAAGTAGGCTCTTTGCCATTGCCTTTGATTGATAAAATTGATTGGAATTGTATCTTAATGCTACATGACATCGTTACACCCCATTCACTTTATTTGGTGTCCCATCATTATAAATCTGTATTACCTTACCTTATAGTATTCCCAACGCGACTTTGCCCACCTGATCGAAGGCAAGTAGCTTCTTTCAAACCCCAGTTTTCTAAAAATTGCCAGACACAAAAATGTTTCATTGTGAAGTTAGCTTAGAAAAATGCGAAATTCACATTCTCTTTATATTTTATGGCATGTCCAGCTTTTAACAGAGTGGTTTTCACTACGTAATAACATATTTTATCGTAACTAACAGTATAGAACTATCTTCCCTCACAATTATGAAGCCAACCAATACGGTTCGTAGATTTTCCTTCCGTAAAATATACATCATATTTTATATTCATATTCAAAGGGCCTTTGCCTTTCCGCTGCGGCATAATGGGGTCGGTATATTAGTTCCGGGTAAACAATTCGAGACTCTTAGTAAAGAACAAAATTATATATTTTGCGAATTATGAATAATGTAATTTTTGGAAAATAATATTCTTTTTTGTTTTGTTTGTTAGAATTTTATACGTATTTGGTATATGCTGTGAGTGGTTGAGGGTATTTTAGTAAATCGTATAATGAGAGTAGAACCGAATACCTATAAAGAAAAAAAACCAATAATGACGAGACGAAGGAAGGACCGAGTCAGGCCCAACACAAGTATTGTATAATAACTTACTGGGACTGCGTCAATGTCAGACAGATATTGTGATATTTGAGATAATAAACAATTTGAATGACTGACAATTTGAAAAACCGAAACTCCTTACTTGGCAAACCAACGAGTCAATTGTGACCTCAAGGTCATTGGGTCATTTACTCTATCACTTTTCCCATTTATCCCCAAGCAGTCACAAGTGACCGCTCTAATTATCATTAACTACATTATATACCTTATTTTCGATGTCTAAAGACTTCTTTCTATGTCGTGGTGGCCCGGAGGTATAAGACGCCCGCTTCTCATGCATGAGGGTGCGGGTTCGAAACCTACCAACGGCAAGTACCAATGTGACTTTTTCCGAGTTATATGTTCTTTCTAAGATTATTTAGACATCACTGACAAACGGTGAAGGAAAACATCGTGAGGAAACCTGGACTTATAATTTCTAATTATAAGTTTGTAATCGCCAACCCGCATTAAGCAAGCGTGGCGATTAATGCTTAAACCTTCTCCGTGTGAGAAGAGGCTTTGCTCAGCAGTGGGCATTTATAGGCTGTTAATGATGAAAGACTTCTTTTATATGAACAAATTTGGGGGTGATATTTCAACAGGTTTACGCATTAATTCTATTGGAGGTTTCAAGTCTCCATATAACACTCAAAGCCCATAACTCCTTCTTAAGTAAAATTATCGTTATTGGATAAGTGATATTTTACTTAAAGCTTCTTTATAGAAAAAAATACCTTTCTAACTGACTTCAAAAGAAAAAAGGAGGTTCTGAGTTTGACCTGTATGTATGTATGTGCGCGATTAAATCGCGATTGGCTGAATGCACATTGATTCGGTTTTCAGAAAAGTGTTTATTACACTTAGGATAAGACGTTAGTATATAAATTGACCGAATTTAAAAATAAGAGGGGTTAAATCGGTTTTTAAACGTAGTTCATAAAAAAATATTTAACAATCACCCTAATAAGAACATAAGTTTTTTCTTATTATGTTACGACCTAATTCTTATTATTTAGCACGTTACTTTGTTAACCAAGTTCCTGTGACCCTCATTCAATAAAATTAAAGTCCATAAAAATAGTCAGAGCCTTAATTTATTCCATGTCTGTATCTATATAATTGGTGTTGTCTCTTTATCCTTGATGTTTTCCGGGGTTTTGGGACTTTAGCTAATTTTCTTTTGTCAGAAACGACGTGTGGTTTCTTTTATATTGGGTTGGGTTAATAGCTTTTTAAATTATAAATGTATGCGTTTTGGGTGTCTTTTGTTTTCGTTTTACGTTTTGTGTTAGGAAACGTATTGTGTTCGTATGTGTCTAGAATTTTATAAAAATTGTCATTTCGCTGATTGTAAATATTATAACTTACCTAACATTTGCAAAAAGATAAACTACATTATAGATTGTGAGGATTATAGCAAGAAGTATCTAAATCCAATTGAAATCAGGAAACACCTTGCGGGCAGCAAAACAAGCTCTTTGCATAAAACAGAGCCGTTAAAACCTAAAATAGGGACCATTCCCTTCTATTTCACAAATCGTAACTGCAGACATCCTATTCAAAATCCTAATCCTATTCAAAATATGTGCATGCTAACAGAGAAACACATAAAAATAGGTACTATACCATATTATTTTCCCTCCACTACTAAAGGTAACACATTTTTTCGACCCTATAACTCAACCTTTATTGCATAACTTCAGAATACTTCATCAAAATATCGGGAGTGTTTTATCTAAACAAGAAATATTGGAATTAACATTACAAGATATGCGAGAAATACAGAATGACCCACATGTAATTTGCCTATCAGAAACATTTATAAAAAAAGGTCAAGAACACTTTCTCAACTTATCTGAGTATAAAATGGCATCAAATTTCAGCAGGGAACACCAGCGAGGTGGCACCTGTATTTTAGTTAAAAGGGGTCTAAAATTCAAGGAACTATCACTTTTAAACAATCACGCCACTACTAAAATATTCGAAATATGTGGCATAGAACTAATAAATGAAAAATTAGTAATTATTTGTTTATATAGAACACCCCAGTCGGATCCTAATCAGTTCCTAGCTAAGTTGGATAGTATTTTACATGATCTATTCAAAAAATATAAATCTAAAACTCATATCGTTCTGTTAGGGGATTTTAATATAAACACATTAAAAAAAGGTAAAATCACGCAAAACTTTCAAGATATCGCTCACAACCACAATATAAAAATTCATATCAACGTACCCACCCGTAAAAATTCATGTATAGACCACATCCTGAGTAACATACCAGACGCGATTGCAAGTGTTCTACCACTTAACCTTTCTGATCACGAAACGGCACAAATGTTAAGCTTTCCTTTAAAGATTCAATTATCAAAAAATATTGTATCATACTTCATTTACAAAAGGGATTATAGTATAGATAATATACGTAAATTTAGAGATTGCCTACAAAACTTATCTTGGTGTGATGTATACATGGACACAAATGCAAATACAGCGTTTAATCATTTCCATGAACAAATATGTCTATTTTATAATCTCTGTTTCCCAAAAATAAGAGTTAAAATAAATATAAGCAATAAAATTAAACAAACATGGATAACTAAAGGCCTTAGGCAAAGCTCTAGAACTAAACGTTATTTAAGACATCAATATTACAAGTTTAAAAATTTAAGCAATAAAAATATGTATATCTTATATTCTAGATTATTACAAAAATGTATTTATAATGCCAAACGGAACGCTAATATAAAATTTATGAACAATAATAACAATAAGTGTAGGGCAACATGGGCAGTCATACAAAAGGAGGTAAACAGTGCTAAGCTCAAGCACAATATTGAAATTATTAAAACTGATACTACCACACTAACACAGCCCACAGAAATTGCATCGGCCTTTAATGATCACTTCATAAATATAAATACCACACTAGTACAAAACGTCACAAATACCTGTCGAAATACAAAACTAGCATCTAACTCAATGTTTCTAATACCTACGTCTGAAAATGAAGTAAAAGAACAGATATTATCATTGAATAACACTAACTCGGAAGGTTACGATGAACTTAACACCACAATAATAAAGAAATGCGTTGATGAAATAAGCAAAATATTAACTTTCTTAATTAATTTGTCTTTTTCACAGGGGTTATTCCCTGACGCGTTAAAACTGTGTATTGTTAAACCACTTTTTAAAAAGGGGCACAAATATGACTTGTCCAATTATCGTCCTATAACATTAATACCCATTATATCAAAAATCTATGAGAAATGTATGTATAGAAGGTTAATCACGTACTGTGAGAAGTACAACATTATAAGAAAGGAACAATTCGGATTCCAAAAACATAAATCCACGACTTTAGCTATATTTTCACTTCTGAAAGTAGTATTAGCCAATGTTAACAAAAATCAGCTTACAACGGGTTTATTTATTGACTTATCGAAAGCATTCGACCTAGTTACGCACGACAGATTGTTGCAGAAATTAGAGGTTATCGGAATCCGAGGACCACCTTTACACTGGATATTGTCATACTTATCTGATAGAAAACAGAGGGTCATTATCACCAGAATTGATGAGAGTCAGAATATGATCAATTACCCATCAGAATATAAATGCATAAAGCGGGGCATACCCCAAGGTAGTATATTGGGCCCGATTTTATTCTTACTTTACATAAACAATATTGTTGATGTGACTAACAATAAATGTTTTCTTTTTGCCGACGATATTTCCATAATTGTCACTAATGATAAAAAACGTAACTCCGTTAAAGATCACGAAACACATATAAACAACACAATAGATAATATAATCAACTGGCTCGATAATAATGACCTATCCATCAATCTTAATAAATCAGTTTACGTACAATTCAATAAATCATATAACAGTAAATTTAATTTTAAAATGGATATACCTAAAATTTCGCAAGCAAACAACACCAAGTTTTTAGGAGTATTTATAGATGAACATCTAGACTGGAAAGAACACGTCAACCATGTCTGCAACAAAATAAATAAATTTGTCTACCCTCTCAAACAAATCAAAAATGTCACTTGCATGAAAACTGCGGTCATGTCCTACCGTGCGTATATTGAATCATCACTACGATATGTTTAATTGCATGGGGAAATAGTACTGATCAAGAGAGAGCATTTATCGCACAAAAACGATGTATACGAGCCTTATATGGGATTCCACCTGATGTATCATGTCGGTCATATTCAAAAAGCTTGGTTTGCTACCCCTACCCTCATTGTACTTATATGAAGTGTGTATATTCGTACGTAAACATAAAGAACTGTTCAAAACGGCAGAAGACGTATGTTCTAGAAGTCGACGCGACCATCACAGACTAGTACTAGAGGAGTTTCCTAAGTTAACAAAATATAATAAAAGCTGCCTAAGTATGTGTGTCCGAATATTTAATAAATTGCCGATAACATTAAAAACACTTAACCTCAGACTTTTTAAAATTAAATTATATGTATGGTTAAATGAAAATAATTTTTATAGTATTAAGGAATTTTTTGAACATAAATAATAATGTATAATCTACGAGTGTAAGTTAAGTAGTTAAAATAAGTTTCAAGTTAAAATTTGCATGCTTTATTTATTAAGCAAAACATGATGATCTATTATATTGTAACAATAACATCTTTGTATACCATGTTTTTACGCAAATAAATGTCTTTATCTTTATCTTTATCTTTTAATAAAGATATTGCGAAGATTAGAATTCTATTGGTACTTTAGTGTAAAGTAAGTGTTAAAATATTATCAAAGCAAAGTGTTAACATCAAAACATTTTATTATGTTTTCTCGTCTCATTGCCCGGAGGTTTAAGATGCTTCGCTTCTCATGCAGGCACGGGTTGAAATTTACCAACAGCAAGTAGTAATGTGATTTTTTCCGAGTTAGATTATTTCCGAGCAGAGTTGGGCGTAATCAACTACTTTTGTAATCGGATTAATAATCTGATTGAAAGTAATCATGATTACATCAATCATGATTACTTTTAATCTTGATTACTTTCAATCATGACTACATTTGTAATCATTAGTTTTGATTACAATAGTCAGTAATCTTAATTACATTGGTAGATTTGATTATTTTTTTAAACATATTTTTAATAAATGCGGTTCTATATTCAATCAGTATGTATCTTGTATGTCTGAGTTTTTCTAAAAACTTCTGATCCAATTGGGATGTCATGGATGTTTTGTACTTGATGGAAAATTTTTTACATATTCAGAATCGGAGTCTACGAACAAAAAGAAAGTGGCAATTTGTACATTATGTCGGCCAAAACTAGTTAAAATTAGTTAAAATTAGTGGTTTAATAATTCTACATCAAATTTTGTAACTCATCTCAAACGAAGACACGGGGAAGAAACACACAACGAGTATCAGAGTTACTTGAAAACTATGAAAAAAAATAAACGGTCTACTAGAACATCCAACCAACTGCAACCAGATATTAGAGATGGTAGTACTAGTGATGTACCTACTGATCGAACGATTTCACAGGATTTTATTTTTCGAATTCCTAAATGTAGTTAGTATGCATCAATCAAAAAAGTAATCAAAAAAGTAATCAAAATTACGATTACAAACTAATAATCATTAATCACTGATATGATTACTTTCTTGATTAATTTCCGTAATCTGTAATCTTGATTGACGATTACAAAATGTAATCGTAATCATTAATCTGATTACAATTTGCCCAACTCTGTTTCCGAGTTACCTTCTTAGATTTTTTAGACACCACTAACAAATGGTGAAGGAAAAACGTCATGAAGAAACCTGGGCTTATAATTTTTTATCATAAGTTTGAAATCGCCATCCCGCATTGAGCAAGCGTGGTGATTAATGCTCAAACTTTCTGCGTCTGTGAAGAGGTTTTTGGTCAGCAGTGGCCACTTATAGGCTTTTATAGGCTTTTGATGTGTGATGTGATGTTTTCTTGAAGCACACTCAACTATGAAAAGTATGAAATGGATTATATTATGTGGACGTATATTTTAAGAAATACATGATCCATTATGTAGCATAGTCGCGGAGAACCTAACGGGTTACCGGGTCTCTGGCTCGAAGCGCAAGGAGAAGGAACGGGGTGGTTTTTAGTCAGTAAGAGTCTGACACCCCCTCCCGCCTCACCCAGGCGGGAGCAGTAAATTGATGATTTTCTCCCCTTAAAAAAATTATGTAATATAAAAACGTACATAACGTTTCACATAATTTATCATAAAGCAAAACAGTACCTAATCCCGCAATAATTTAAGGAAAATGCGACATTTTACCAAAAAGCTTTTCATTATTTATACTGAAAAAAAATCGTCCGTGAATTAACAGTAAACCAAATCTTTATCAAATATTTGTTTCCAGACCCCGACATCGTTGTCTAAACATACTTTGTTGAAAAGGTCAGAATTAATATTTGAAAGAGGAAATAATATTAACACATTATTTTCACTTAAAAGTTTGAACTTATTTTTTAAATCGTCGAATCGTCGAAAGAATCGACGAAAGTCGAATTTCAAATAAAATATCTGTTAAGCCAACGATGGGGATTGTGCCAAGTAACAACTTCTCGACTTCAAACTTCGAGAAGTTTTAATAAAAAAGTTAAAGATTTACAAGAGTTGGTTGGTTGGATAATATCTTTTGTGTTTGATGATGTTAATTTATTATTTAATGCGGAAGAAACAACCAATATCGATTCAAGTATAAGTTCAAACATTCGAAGCAGTATTTATTTCCGTATGTTCCAGATTCCTTTGTGTTTATCTTCTTTATATAGGTAGGTATATAATTCTGCTGTACGTGTGTATGTCATTGAACTCCTCCTAAACGGGTTGACCGATTTAACTCGTCGAGTACCGGTTTTATAGACACAATTAAAGAACAATAGGTCGCGGTCACCGGTGACCGCTTGGTGTTTGACAGTTTAAATGAATTTTTCTATATGTGCTTGAGTGGCTAAAATATCGTAATAATATGCAGGACAACGTCTGTCGGGTCCGCTAGTAGATATATAAAGATAAATGAAATTGGAGTGTCTGTTTGAAATAATGAACCAACCCCATTTTACTACATGCATATTCATACGATACATATACCAATAAAACACGATTTTTTAATTTTTGTCTGTCTGCCTGTTTGTACTGGCTAATCTGTGAAATGACGGGACCGATTTTGACGGGACTTTTATAGGCAGGTAGCTAATGTACTAAGAAGTAACATAGAGTACTTTTGTGAGATTTGCGGCTACAGTTAGTTTTAAATAAATATGAAATTATGAGTAGATTGATTTAGTTTTATACTATTAGGTGTTGTCTGATTTTATCGAAGATATGTTTATGTATGTGTTATCAAAAAAATCTACCTATAAAAATATACTTTACCGTTTACGAGTCAACAATTAGAAAGTTTGAAACAAAATAGTTTAAAAATTACAAAAGAAAAGGAAAACGAACAAGATGAATCGTCTTGTTAATAATAAAAAAGGTATAAATTCATTTTCGCTTCGAAACGAGGCAAACAAAGAGGGATTCATCGAATATTTCGAACAATTAAGACCTTTATTCGTCCGTTCCTTCCAAGTAATCTAAGCCAGCATCAGTTCCCTACTTTATGAATGAAACATTTTAGCTTTTCTCCAAACTTCTGTATCTGTGGCGAATAGATAAATCAACTGTAGCCGAGTTTGTTTCTTGCCTTCGATAAGAAAATCTTTAGACCATGATTTTGTTAAACTTTCGTACTTGTTGTTTTATTAAATTAAACGACGGTTTTTGTCTATGCTTGTTTATTTCAGTTTTGAGAATCTCTGCTTTGGATGGTGGAAATATGTTCTTTGAATTTGTATATATTGTTTAATTCTATCATTATTTTTGTCTGTTAGGGATTTGTTACTATCGTATCATCTACAGGAGCTGTATGATTTGGTATTTCGACATTCTGTTTGGACAATTGTTCTTCGATGCAATACTTTTATATATTATCAAATTGCGATTAAATCTTATTTAATATTCCCAAAACTATTTTCACGCTGCACAGCACTTGGGAGGAATTTACTACGAACGTAAGTTTTATTAGTGAACATTGAAATACCGACATATTTTAGGTCATTTATATTAGAAACTTAAGAATTTTGGCACTATATAACTCCGTATTGTATTATAGTATCGTCTGTTATTTATTTAGTTGATTTTATTTAAGTTTCTTTGATTTTTGTGACAGGTTGCAGAACGCACGAGCCGAAAGCGTGAGGGGGGTCCGGCGATCGCCGGATGTCCGCCAAAACTCGCTGCAGCGCATCACCAATACACCACCCACGCCCAATAGGTATAAATACAACAATATAATAATATATCTAACCAATTCAAAAGATTCAATTCAAATTCTACTATTTAGTTTAAAGTTAAATATCTTAAAACACTATTAATGGCCGTTTCATTAACCTCTCCTTAATTTTAAGAAACCCATAAACTAAGGTAATATTTAACGACATTTCTGTTTTCCAACCAGTAAGTGACACTTAACAATATAAGAAAGGGGGTAGTTTATGAGAGGGTAGTTACTTTTAGTTGAGAGATGGTTGGGAAAACGGTATCAATGTTGATAATTATGATAATGTAGAAATATACTGAAATATAATAACAACTAACTGCATTACTTAGAGATTCCTAATATAGATTTAATTTTCTAGGATCGTTGACTACCTAGCCCCTGAATCACCAATGAACGTGGACGAAGATCTTCTACTTGAACTTCTGTTCAAAATCTAACAACGGCAGTTATTCTACGGACACAATACATTCCCAAAACGATGTTCAATTCCATTGCAATATTAATGGAAGGATTTTTTTCATCATAATTTTGTTACAAGTCGAAATTTTCTGTTCAATTTGTATGTTGTGATTGTTTTACATCGAGTATCTCTACGCGTTAACGCCGACTGCCATTCACATATTCAATGACTTTCTGACACGACGCACTTTACGAAACAGGTTTTTTATCGGAGTTGTGAACTGAATCAGGCCTTGTCTATTCGAAATGTTTTCATTCTTTTGTAAACGTATTACTTAATTGTAGAAACAAAAAGTTTTGACTAATACCTATCACTTTCCGATTTAGTTCTTCTTTTTATCTTAACCACTAACGTTATGATTCGGAATTACAATTTATTGATGTGATTGAAAGGATTTTCGATATCGACTGTTCATTCGTTCTCAATCATTTTCTTCGCAGCGCCATCTGCGTTATATTAACGGATTATAGCAAAGCGTGTGACTCTAGGAAGTTATTATGTTTTTCCTTAGAAATGACTTGTTCAGAGTTTAGATTTCGATTTATTCTTTATTTTAAACTCTTCAGGTCATAGACAGGGTTATATTTAGTATAAATTTTATCGTATTTGTATTATATTTTCATAATGTATTTTTGAGATATTCGTTTAGAACATTTATTGGAATCATATTTTTGAAAACTCTAAATTGCATGTAAAGTAATTAAAACCTAGATCACCATACGTATTGGCTGAACAATTTCGTAAGATACGAGGCATTTCTTTCAAAAATCTACCGAAAATTCTTCAAAAGTTGTACGCGACATTTCGCTTTTGACAGTTTATGTCAATTGCAAACGATTTGATGATGAATTTCAATGATAAGTTTTAGTTTGTTTGCTTTGGACTTTAGTAGATCGAGTCAAAACTTGAATTCTATTCTATGAATAATTTCAGCAATGGAGTTAGTAAAATATGTAGGTTAAGTACAAATTCAAATTATTAAAAGCCACTGTTCTTATAAAGTAGATGCACTTAGCGTATAATACAATAAACCCGACGAGCTGTGAGTATTTTGAGATTTTATCGTATTTAAGAGAAATAAAAGTAATTACGCAGTTAGTTTCGGTCGAAAGTTTAAACAATAGGTTTCATTCCAGCCTAAATAGTTTTAATTCTTTTAGTCTATGCAGTGAAGTGAAGCCTTAGATATCATCGAACATGATCTATCTTCGAGACTCCCTTTAGATTAGATCTAACGTTGTCAAGGACCTTCGACCGTTTTATCAAACTATCGTTTTCTATTAGTTTTCTTCGTCTTCTTTTCAACCTATCTCGTTGATTTCATGTTCCTCCTTCCCTAGTTCCTATTCCAATAAGTGCGGATCCCTAATATGAATTTTCATCAAGTACCTACATCTATAATTAGTTCTTTAGATAGTGAACTTTTGTTTTTAGATCCTCGTTATGCTAACGCCATACTTACCTAGCGTTCATGAAGAAATAAGGTTGTGCACCACTTAAATATAGAAAATAAAAACCTAAATATTCCCTTTTTCTGAATTCTCTGATATTTTAACGTAGTAAAAATAGTAAAGTTTTATAGTATAAGAAATAATAGAATAATCATAGCTTAACCATAAGAAGACGTGCTACAGTCGAGATATTTTCGATTCGTATTTTTATAAAGCAAAAGTTTCGAACGAATAAGGACGCTTTGCTTGAGCAGGGCCCTGGTACTTTGTGTTATCTTACTTACTTCAAACAACTATCTTGTTTAACTTTCCTCGTTACATTCTGTTGTATTATTTTCATTAGATCTATGACTTGGTTCGTTTTGAAAATTTTTCCTTCTCTCGACATAATTTTCAAACTGTTCGTACATTCCGATATATTCCTGTTTATTTAGATTTTGAGAGGCCCAGAGTTGAAAAAGTAGGAAAAAAAGGTTGGTGGATTCGTAACAAATTCAAATATCCGTTTAATATCAAGCGGTGTTTTGTTAAGAATGTACCAACGTTTTTTCGATTAGAAGAAAAATAAACACGCGACGAGGATTGAGAAAAACCGTCCAGTTGTGGCGGCTTTTGCACCCTCCGGTGGCGAACGGCAGAAGTCGCAAATATCGCGAGTTTGCACACAGCGTGACATCGACGCGTAGCTCGCGAGCGCGGTCCGGCCGGGGGCGCACTAATACAACACGTATATTTCATATTTTTGGATCGCTAATTTTAAGATGTTATATTTATATATGTATATGTAGTAATGGCGGGTACGATACCAGTATTTCGAGATGTATTGCGCCAAAAGTTTTGATGTATTAATTTTCCATAAACGTTATTCTATCATTTCTGTCTTAATTTTCGAACAAATAGTTCGTTTAGCTAGTGGTCATGCGTATACCTATATTTTTAGATAGCGTGCACGATTGCTTCTGGAGCGCTGATAATGTTATTAAAATGCGAAACGGTTGGAGATATGAAAAAAATAAGTAAAAAAATATTTTTCTCTGTAACGCGGAACCTCTGAAAGCAATAATATTTTTGTGGTGAAATAAACTCCGATTTGTAAAGAAAGTGTATTTTAATATCCACGCGGTCGTCACAGTACAGTTGAAATATAGACGCTTCTTAGTGCCACCGAAAACTGTGTCTTTTTTACTATCTTCCATTTTATTTTATTAAAACGTGAATATTGTTTGGAAAAATGCCAAAAATTTACAAAAAAAAATTACCATAACAATAATTGTGTTATATATTTTATATAATAAATGTCAATTACATAAAAACAGAAAAAAAAATAATTGATTTTTGTAAAAAAGACTGTAAGACGAACTCTTTAATTAAATTAATTAATTTGAAGTTTTATTTCTTTTATTTATGAAGGATAACGAAAGCAATAAACTTTTCGAAGGCAGTGAAGAAGGCACACTTGCGGCGAGGCTTAGTAATTGACCACAGCTAAAAGATAGTGCACTAGAAGTAGATATAGTTAGATAAATTACTATTATATGAAATAAAAAAACTTGAAATCTATACATAGAATTTAAAACTAAAAGTTTAACTAATACTTTTTATTATTATATTATAAGAAGCTTGTTCACACATTTTAACTTCATAATAATATTTAGTAGGTATTCCTAAGACTAAAAGATAGAAATTGTTACTAACTGAAATTGGTACTGGAATGAGATATTAGTGAGAATATGATTGGATTTCTTTTATCTTTTAGGGTGGGCCGTAAATAGTTGAGCTTTATTATGCCGTAGGCACGTTTCTTTTGACGAAAATGTGATAAAAAACTTGCAAAAAGCATTGATTTTAGCGTCTATGATTTTTATGTAGTTCTAAGTTAAATGTTTGTTGTTTAAGCAATTTTCTTATAGTGAACTTATTCGCGGTAGCTTGCGTATACTTTTTTAGAGGGGAAATATCTTAGTTTTAGTCAAATCAGTCTTTTTTTTAAGATGTTTCTAATTTCGAAGAGATACAAGAACTTTTTCATAATGAATGGCTAAAACTAATTTCGATCACCTCTTTGTAATGACGATAAATGATTTTTTAATCAAAATGAAGCCTGCCTAAAGTATATTGCATATCACTTAGATACTTAATTATAACTTGGACGTTCTCGACACTCGCGGTTGATATTAGTTACATTTTGTTTCATAAAATGCTAGATCACTAGAACTTCATTTACTATTAATATTTATTATAGTTGCTAAATCCTTGTACTAGGGTTGTAATGTATTGACGTGCAACATAGTGTGTAATTCAATATGTTTTTTCTTAAACTTTAGCCAAAAGTTACGAAGAATGAGCAGTTTAAGGCTCTTATCTATAAGTTTCATTATTACTCAAAGCAATAGTGCCTGATTTAGTCAATACAGTAGTCAAATCTGCCATAAATGTTTAGTTACCTAAGCCTTAGACATTTTATAATAGTAAATAAATAATTTAATTTTTCATAAATCATTACAATCCTATATTTTTATAGCTAGCCATTAGAGTTATTGCTTTACAAACAAATTTATATAGAACAAGGCATTTGATAGCGAATTTTATGATGTTATTTAATTTTTTAATTAATATGCAATCTTAAGCGTTGTATGTAAGTTTTTCTTTAGCAAGTTATTGTAAGAGATTGTCATGTACTGCCAGTTTCAAGGTTTCTAAAACACCAATAATATGAAGGGACGTATGAATGACGACTGTCCGATTGAACAACTTGGAATCTCTGTTTTATAGTTCATCTTTCTTAAACAAAACATTGAATATTGAATTGTAATAATTGGATTTAAAGTAATTACGTGGAGTGTATTTTCGACATCTATTTTAAATAGGTAATGAATTATAAAAATGAGTTGTAAATAATTTGTGGAAAACTTATGAAAAATGTCTGTTTTGAATTGTCACGTTTTATTCTTTTTTAATTTGTATCTTTTCTGTTATTACGTTTTATTTTTATTGTAGGTTTTTTATGTGAACTGTAAATAAACAATATTGTTCCTAAGTATTTATAATCGTAATTAATCGTATACTTATTTAAATATGAATGTATTCAATGTAATAATTTGTAATGATTTCAACGTTTTTTTTTCAAATTAAATAATAGATTTACATTTTAATTTATAATAATAATTATTAGAGATTATAATTTAAATATAATTGCATTATTAGTTTTATTATGTAAAATTGTTAGTTGAATTTGTTAAGTTTTGTTTATTTGTAATTATTGTAATAATTATTTAAAGTAATTAAACAAAAAATGTAATTGTTTATCTTATTGTAAAATATTTCTGAGATGATGGACATGAATGTATGACGACGAGCTGTCGGATAAGTGTACTTTGAACAAAAAATAATCTTCCTTTGTAATTATTATAATCTATAAACACTACAAAATTGTGATTCAAAGCAATTTAAAAATATTACTGCTGATTATATTTTGTGTTTTATTTATTTATTCCCTGTTCTCATGTAACACTATACTGACTGAGCATAATGGGGTTTCTACTTATAGAACTTAGGCCTGAGTGAATAGGTTGCTTATGGGACGTCGTGCTCCATCGTAGACCGCATCATCGCGCACCACCAGGCGAGATAGTGGTCAAACGTCGGCCCATTAAATATTTAAAAAAATAACTTAATGATGAGACGAGCCAGATTTCTACGTATATATAATAACTTAATATTCATACCTAATACTCGTCGAGTGAGTGGTTATTAATAATATGATCTAAAAAGAATAGGGATAAACTTATTGACTTATTACAAAGTAGCAGAATAAGTGATATTGAGAATTTACGAAAATCCTGCCGGGCAAGGGGTCCCGGGTTCGAATCCCGGATCGGGCAAAGGGTTTTTTAAAAAACATTCTCAGTAGTAGCATGGAGTCTGAAATTGTCTCCGGTATATGGCAATAGGATCAGCCCCTATTACATGGGCCTCATAACATAGATAGTGAAAAAGGGGTGTTACTTTGTACAGTAGCATAATATGCACCTCTGCCTACCCCTTCGGGGATGAGAGGCATGATGTTATGTACGAAAATCCAAAATCCCTTTTTGTCCCTCGAGAACCTTTGCTTGGCGACCGCACTTGCAACCGCTAGGCCAATGAACCAGTTTTAAAATACGACTCCAGTAACCACTGAATTAAATTTGTGAGAGTCAAAATGGCGGGTGTATCATTATAATTGTATACATTAAAAGTCCACCCGCCATATTGACGTCAATATGGCGGGTGTACTTTTAATGTCGTAATAACACCGTTCCAAAGAAAGAACATTTTTTTTAAACTTAGGTACTAAATAGTACATTTTCGGTAAAACTAGCTTTTACCCGCGGCTTCGCTCGCGTCACTAAAGAATAAAAAGTAGCCTATGTGACATATACCAATACACACAGCGCCATCTATACCAATACTTTTGTTTTTCCTCGGGAATATCAATTTTTCCGGGTTAAAAAGTACCCTATTATTTAATCCGGACTTCTAACGTTACTTCTGCAAAAATTCAAAGCATTCGGTTGAGTAGTTACGGCGTGAAGGTGGAACAAACAAACAAACAAACAAACAAACAAACAAACTTACTTTCAGATTTATAATAATTTAGTAAGGATTTTTTGGTACATGGTAGAATTTGCTTCGTTTTCAATTATAATGATACACCCGCCATTTTGACTCTCACATTAAATATCAAGTCCAACTCCTCACCAAGTTTCACTGCAAAGGGTTAGTAGAATATTTAAAAACTTCTTATCATTCTTATAATAATTTAAGTAAGAAAACTTTGTTAAAATCCTCGTATTTATTACTACGGCCTAAAGCAGATAAGAATTCTAGCAAACTTTTGTAACTGGAATATACATTTTATATATACTAAATTAATTGAAATACGGCTCGAGTTTTTTTTATGAGATCTGTCGCTAAACGAGGAGACGGATCACCTGATGGTAGGTCATCGGCGTCACCCATGGATGCCTGGAATATCAGAGGCGTTACAAGTGCATTTGAGGATTGTTGGGGATTTAGGGATTGGGGAAGGGGGTGGGGTAATGCCTCCGGTAACCTTATACCTTATTCACATGACGACACACAATGCAAGCGTTATTTCACGTTGGTTTTCTATAAATCACTCCGCTTAAGCCGACCCATTCGTGCCGAAGCATGGCTTTCCCACACTGAGTTGTAGTAATTGTATGAATATAATAATGATACCTAAGTAATAATAATAATTAACACCTTAATAAAATACCTTTTCTTGTACATGCCTATACATTAAGCTAAGTAAAACCAGTCTAAACGAACCGTTAAATTTGCAGTAGTATGTATGAAGCGAGACCAAGATGTTTTTTATATTTAATTATAAACAAGACAATTTTAACAAAATTAGCGTCTGTTACACTGCATAGCAGTTTGTCAGCAGCATTAAAAAATGATGCTGATGAATGTCAAATATTGCTTAATATACAAGTCAGAGGTATCTACCTAGGTCGTCGCGAATCTCAGAGAAAAGTTTAAGGGGATCAACATTATGACCGTGCCATGACAATTTATCTATGAAAACATCTTGTATGTTAGGAAAAACCTACAGTTATTTGATAAAGTGTCGGACAGACACCACTATCAAACTAGACATAAGGATAGATTAAGTCAGCCAACTTTGAGATTGGCGAAAGTAAGTCGCTCATGAATTTCAGTGTTAAATGTCATAACAAGGTACCATGGGGACATACAAATTTAAATTATGTTTAAAAAATATGTAGACAAGCATAATTAACTTAATATTAAATTGGACTAGTAGAATACATTTGTGTCAGCTTGGAGTTGTCATGCTCACTCAAAGGTCTCATTGGCGGCACGCGCCAGCGTACAGTGGATATTGTGTACGTGTCATGTTCGTGAACGGGCGCCGTCAACCGGGACTGGTCATCTCCAGACTGTATTTTTTACTGTTTTTTTAAAATTACTTTTTTTTCAATCTCCTTGAATGGATTTAAGTATTACAGTGTTCTCGCACAATCCAAACAACAAAACTATGTAACTAAAGAATTCTATTGTGAACCTGATTGAAAAAGAGTAACCTATGGAGTTTTTTGCTTATTCTTCTCAATAGGAATCTACACCTTGGAATGAGCAAATAGCTTAACTTTTAATTTTTTTTGTTGACGTTTAAAAGTGCCTTTTGGGCTAATTTAAATAATGATTTTGACTTTGACTTTAACTTCGTTAACCTTTTACATAAAATGGATGTCATTTTACATACACACAAAAACAATTAAAATTCCTTTAAAGCACATCTTAATTCTGTATTCCAAAATCCGGCCGTTTTACTAACAGATTGGTCGTATAATTTCGCTTTATGGGGCACGTAAAAATTTAATGGTCCCATATTTTATTGGCTGGGTGCTCGGAGCTTTGATTAAAAACCTTTAGGGAATACTCAATCGTTACTCCGTGGTCCTGATTATCAGTTACGGGTTACTGTAATGTAGTTTAGTTTAGGTACGATGTACTTATAAATCTGCTTTTATGTAAGTATAATAGGATAGACTAATTTTTATTTTAATGTCCCTCTGGTAGATTATTTAAAAACATTAGACAATCTTTTATTTTCTCACGGAAACTAATAGTTTCTAAGATATATTGATTTGAAATATCGCGTGACATCACTTCTCAGTACATTTTATACTAAGAAATGACGTTTTAGCCCCCACTCCTAAACTTTGATTCGTTTTATCTAAGTATTGTTTTATTATACTTACGACAAAATAAAAACAATACGTATCTAATATTTTTTAATTATATAACTTACGGACTAAATATATTTTTAATTTTCATACCCCATTATATGCATACCTACGTATAACCAAAAAGTTTATCGATATTGTAATCCTTATTGGTCGATTTCTTAACATTCAGACCACGTCTTTCACACAAAAACAGCTAAGAAACAAAATGCAAGAAAAACACTAAATAAAAAAGAAACGGTGTGCCGAGCCCAAAACCAAACATCGAATATAATCCTGATTTAGTCTGTTGTGTACAAAACATTCAGTTTCATGTGATTTTACCCGGTCACCGTAATTTATACCCGGCCTAGCCAGGCCTACCCGGTCAAACCCGGCCCGGATTAATTCTGACACGTTTTTTATCCCCATTCAAGAAAACGCGATTTTTGGTCCAAATTTTAGCTGTCTCTTAGCTAAAATTTGGACCAAAAATAGCTAAGAGACTATAAAGGACTGTTTAATTTTTGTTTCGTTTTGGTTTACTATATGAGCACCAAATAGTTACATGGTAGTATTGTAATTGTAAAGTAGCGGGTAGTAGACCAATCTAATCTTATACTTACTATTTATAAAGTACCTACTTGCGACCTGCCCTGGCTTCACACGGGCGCAATTTGCATGTATTATACGTAAACCTTCCTTAAGAATCACTATCTATTATAAAAACCGCATCAAAATCCTTTGCGTAGTTTTAAAGATCTAAGCATACATAGGGATAGACAGACGGCGGATAGAAACCGTGTTTTATAATATGTAGTGATGATTATATAAAGTTGTGGTGTTCGTTTTTTATTTGATCGTGCTAATTGCTGAAACTACATAATACATACGTAATATCACGCCTTTTATCTGCGAAGGGGTAGGGCAGAGGTGCACATTACGGCACTTAATGCCACTGTACAATGTAACACCCAATTTACACTATTTATGTAACCAGTCCCATATAATAGGGGGTGTGTCTATTGCCGTATATCGGTTACAATTTCAGACTCCGTGCTACTACTGAACATTTAAGAAACCCAGTAATA